TTTCGAGCGTCACAGCCGGCGGGAAATTCAAAAGTGAAAAGTTGTAATGTACACAGAATACACACAATACAATGTGATCTGCTATGATTACACTTATATATCAAACTATTTCACTTCAATTTTGTCCCTAGAGCTTTGTCCACTGCCCTGCCTGACACTATTTCACAATTATAAGAAATTATCATATAATAAATAATAAAATAAAAATGGTCCAGTAAATGGGAATTCCGGGGGCGTTGCCTGATCCGTACCACAGTAAATAAAGTACCAAGTTCGCACATCACTGAGCTCGGTCGCAGAATCCTCGCTGTCCTCACTTTCAGTGTCTGTTGAGGAATTTCCCAACGAATCGCTATCACTCAATTCTGCAAGTAGTTCTAATTTACTATCGCTGTTTTCTACCTGGTCTAAAACCGCTTTTGACCTAAAACAGCGACGATTCTGCGACTGAGCTCAGTGATGTGCGAACTTGGTACTCTATTGACTGTGGTACGGATCAGGCTGCGTCCCCAGAATTCCCATTTACTGGACCATTTTTTTTAATTATTATATTATAATTTTTTAATTTCGTGTTTCAAACTTTATCATACCTGGGATGTCTACTGGACTCTTGTTTGGACAGATTTAGGTGAGTTATTCCTAGGATTTACTAAGAACTACAGGCCTACAAATGTAAAACAACATATTTGCTTGAAAAACAATGTACCGCTTTTGGTACCTAAAATCCTGAATAATCATACCGCCAGGGGAGGTTAAAAAAGGAAAAATTACTGGAAAAAAAAAGTTTTTTTTCCATTGTTAGGAAACTGTCATTGCCCAATTTTTTGGTAAAATATAAAAGACGGGATCACGTTGGGTAAATAGACACCAAACATGTCGAGCTTTAAAATTTCACGCACCCGCGAAAATCACAGGAAACTACAATACCCAAAGTTGAACATAGGCGACGCTTTAAAAGCTTTTACCGCTCATAAGCTTAGTGTTATCAGTGATTGATGGCCCTAGAAATTTTGCTCTCAGACGTTCGCGGTGATATGCAACGTGGGTGCAAACGTCGTTTTCGCACATACGCGCATGTTTTTCACTTAACTTTATTGCGACCCCCCTATGAGATAGCAAAGATATGTGACAGGTCCTCTTTATGAAGACATCAGGGGTCTCCAAAACCCCTAATGTCACCTAGGACACCCTTGCAGAAGCTGATACTACAAGCTGGAGAGTGACACAAGAATGCAGAAGTGGGGGGGGGGGACATGGATCAGTACCCCATACAAACGGTCCGCCGGCTCTATAGCCAGCGAATCGCTTTTATGTTAAAGGCATTGCTGCCTGTTTTTTAATTTTGGGCCTTTCCTGCGTAGCGAGGGGGAGTGGCTGAGCGGATATCTAAAGACGCCCACTCAGATCTAGAGAGCTCCTGGCTGGCTGTTTTTTCTACAACGGCTGGGAGGTAGTTAAAGAAGTGCACTTATCCTTTTGGCCTCTTTGCCCTGCGCTAATAGATTCCACCTTCACTCTCTACATATGTATACTTACCGAAATCCAAATGCTGCAGCCTCCATTGTTTAGTTATATTCAATACCACAAGACCTCTCTCCTGGCCACCCACAGGATTGCACAGTTAAGCTTGTCAACTCAAGCATATTTAAAATCACAACAAAAAAAATAGGCTGGATGCCTCATCTCTGCTACCTATAGAAGCAGGTTTGTTCTGCTGGATTTGTTTGGAGGACTGAAAAGTCCTTGATTTTTAAATAAAAAAAAAAAAAAAAAGTAAAAAAAACATTTTAAAGTTTATTTAAATAAATATTTTGCTTACATGGTATGACGTTTAAAGTGAAAATGTACATCAAAGTGAAAATGTTTTCAAGAAAGGGTTTTGAGCAAATTTTGCATTTTTATTATCAAAGTGTGAATTTGTTAACTTAAGAGTCTGTTAAATAAAATAAAAAATTGTGTTATTTGCGGGATCTGGCCTAGAAAAACAAAACTCTAAAAAAGGCGGTTTAGAAAACGTTCAAACTTTAAATGTCACTTTCAGCACTTAGAGTCTTGAGGTCTTGTCAGGTAAGCAATGAAGGGGCCTGAGCGGGGCACCATTGTTTGGCTGTTCTTAGCTCTTGAGTTGCCATTAATCTGGCTCTGATGGCAAACTTACCAGTTCTGTAACAATTCCTATCTTTAGGTGACAATGTTCACTCATAGCACTTTATCTATTTGAGCAGCAGCTTTATCACACAGACAGGAAGTGTTAGAACTACTGAATGCCTCCTCTCTCCATTACATAGGGCGGAGGTGTTGTTCACAACTTTAACCTAGGAAGGAAGATAAAACTACTTGATATAGCACAGCAGAGTTCAAAGTATTTCTGACATGAGCAGCATCTTCCACATATTAAAACATAACATTTCTTTAAAAGGGTATTTTTAAAGACCAAAAGGGATTAAATGAAAGACTATTAGGGTTACATACACAATGTGTACGTTATAATTTACCAGCAAGTAGCATTACCATAAGAAGTCGGTAATGGCAGCTTCCATGTTCTTGCAGCACAGTTTGGATGTACATTAAATTACATAGAAGTAGGAGTTACAGATGGAGACTAAGCAGGCCAAGACACTATTATTAATGTAGTATGATCAATCTGATATATGTGGAACTTGGCGCCAGAGTCCAACCATAGAAATGCAGTGGTTCTCATAGCAGAGATGATCCGTGTGGCCGTAAATATAAATGATATTCATTCAACAAGCAAGCACAGGTTTCTTAAGTGCCAGGCGACAAGTACTTTGACAACCAAACTCAAACCTAATATCCTGGCTACCAATGGCAGAGAACCAATGAATTAGAAAAAATTAACTTAATTTATCCGGTGAAATGTGCAATTATAGCTCTAGAGCCCAGTAAAACTGTGGTTGAGTGGTGTGTTTTTGGTAGAGTGATGAGAAAAACAGGATTCTCTTTCTCCATTTAAAGTAAGTCTGCAGAGACAAGTGTGTAGGCTGTTGTTGATATCCTGAAACAAGAATGCAGATCAAAAGGTTTTTTTTTCTTGACCTTAACTTGTTTCATGCTTATTCTAGACCTGTAACAAAGTACTGAAGCCAGAGCCTGCTTGGGAACTTGTATTTTCAGGACAAAATATTTCCTAAAAAACAGAGAATCCCTTTCTAGCAGGATGGGTTGTTGAGGTTTCTGGCAGAGAGTGCTGCATGGTCTTAACTCATCTATTTAAAATAGATTTACATTAAAAGTAAACTGACATCATACCATAGAAATGCAGTTTTAAAATGTCTGTACAGTATACCCGCCTAACAAACATGTACCAATCACTCTATGTAACAAATTCAAAGAATAGAACACTAACTGACTTAACAAAATAAAAAGGTCAGGGTGGCAAGTTTCGTTTTCTACACTGTTTAATGGGTTTATAATTTGACCATCACAAAGAAAAAAACAGAGCAAATCACAGCACAAGGAGAACAGGGACGAGAGAGAAGTCACAGAGCCACACAAGTCACGTCAGTGGAAGGTGTAAGATCCCATCTATGCTGCTTCCATATCGGTGACTGGTCTCCGGCAGTGATATGTTGGATTCTTTGCACTCCATGTTAATGAATGCCACTTGTTGTATTTCTAGGTTTGATCTGCTCTTCCTCGCTGGCAAGTGGAACTGTGAAATGGTCCAACTGCAATGAACCCCCTTAGTTTGGTCACAGAGAACTTGCAGCAAACTTCCATCCCACATTGATAAGGGATGGAACAAACTCTCCAGTCAGTCAGAAAAGCAGTTGTCCATCCCACACCCTGCTGCCAGGGCTCTAACACCATTATCTCCCTCCTGTTAGACTGGCCTGTGACAGTGTTTAAAAGCTCGAATGACAAACAGAAATGACAAAAGGGACACTGTAAACAAGACGCTGCTATCTAGAAGAGGGATATGATGGAAGCGTGCAGGAAACACTACATTATTCAGAAATACTATCGGCCAGCAATATTCACAGATGGTGGTGGCGATACAAGGTCAAGAGCAGCTGCATGTGCAGAGGATATTCAAAAACACACAGCAGCAAGGTGACCGAGGAGATCCGTGCAACTTGTTAATCTTCTCAATGCTGAATCAGTGTACAGAGCCTCCACGCTGAATGGGGGGTATGGAGCCAAATGGCTGTCATGGTTGGGCGGAAGAAGCAAGAAAGGAAAGGAGCAATATCCACCCACAGAGCACAAGCGAAATGTCTCCCGCTTCTTGTTTTTAGTTGGGTTCCCTGTTACCCCAACTGTGTAGTGTTATCAGGGCAGGTTTAGTAATGGACACTACTCCCTCCTCTCTATTACTGATGCATTAACAACGGGTTTCATAGATCCCACTGCGGCCAATGTAACGAACCCATTTAATCACATCATGATCGCTGTAGTTCAGCTTAGGCTCAAACACTTTCAGGTATCGAACTTTCAGTCCGGACGGAGCAAATGGGACCTAAAGACAACAAATCATAGTTTATTAAAATAACAGTTTCTGTAGGACACAATTTTTCATGCAGCTTGCATTTTTGGTGGGGTTTAGAAAAAACAAAAAAAATAGGATTTTTGTACTCACCGTAAAATCCTTTTCTCTCCGTTCATTGAAGGACACAGGGAACAGATCTAGGATCATGTACCTTTTGGAGGCCCTCCTCTGCCGTGTGTTCATCCCCTACAGTACATGATGCTAGATCTGTTCCCTGTGTCCTTCAATGAACGGAAGAGAAACTTAGATTTGCCCACTCAGTCACAATTGAGACATTGTGCATTGCATCAAAGCAGGCAAATACTTCTTGCCGTTATCCAGCTTTAAAACCATTGCCCTATAGTAAGTTACAACACTAGCAATGCCAACTTTTGTAATTCATGTGCCTTCTAGTTAGATCTGCAATTACAGCACAAAGCAGCTATCCGGAAACCAACACTTATATGCTGCTTATTGCCAATGTTATTCACTATGTTCAGAGTGAATTTACCTTAATGTTTTAAAGTGAACTTATGGGAGCTGCCACTGCAGACTGTTTTTTGAAAATGAAAGCTGTGGGCCGCTCTCTTCCCAACTTTACTCTCTAGAAAGCCTCTAACTGCAACAAGTATGCAGGACAAGAGTTCAGACATCCTTCACCAAGAAGTGAAGCCAGATTTACTATGAGCAGTCTGGAGGGTGAACCACTAAAACCAAAATCGGAAATCAAAGTCTCAGAATATTCATTTACCAATAATATGCATGTCCAATTGCTCTGAGGCGAGAGTCTCTACTGCCATTGTCTTTTTATTGCAGAGCAAACTACTGTCTTGTCCCTCAACATGTCTAATAACATCAATAACAATTGCCCTTTCATTTTAATCTTGCAGTGAAGACTTGTGCTTTTTATGCTCTATCCAGTCTCACACTAAACACCAAAACAATGGTTTCTGAAAACTATTTACACCCATTATGCTCACCTCAAAGTTCATGGAAATAGGAGGGCGGGCCCACTTCTTCTTATCATTGGTTGGCAAAAGCTCAATCTCAGCACTGATCTGAGACTCCTTCATTCCAGCCATTCGTTTTATTCTGGGGGGAAAAAAAACCACATACATATTATGCTTGTTAAACTCCAAAGTTTTAAACTCCAGTTCCAACCTGAAATGGATTTAAATATAATTTTTTGTGAAGTGCAGTATGTCCATAACTGGAGGAAAGTGTGTGTGCGCTCTTAATGTAGTTTTCCCATTTTACTTATAGAACAAAATATAAACTCTGGAGAAACCTCTGCATTGAGAACATAAATAGAAAAATAGATTCCACCCCCTGTAAAAATTAACCCTGTGCCCCATAATCCTAACATCTTAAAGATGTTATTTGCACCTTACCTCTGAAGAAAAGAGCACAACGTGGTTACACTGTAATTAGTAGCTTTTACTAGTTGGTTTTTGAATAGCATCCACTGTCAGCAGGGAGCGAAAGAATCTGAATGAAAACCCACAAGTAAAAGCAGACTGAAAAGAAAAGGTAAGCCTACAGATAGTAACCACTTTGCTATGAAGCAGTTTTTGCATACATTAAAATCTGCACTTTAGGCTACAAAAAAGTGTGGAGGAATAGCTGTCCAGTTCGCCTAAGTAAAGCCAGTCAGGGCTGCTGTTGATTGTTTTAACCACTTCATAGCAGGACATAACATACGCCAAGAATCCTGAAGTGGTGAAAATCAGTGCCAGGAGTTCAGTTTAAATAGTTTTTTGTTAAATGAGATGTTTTTTTCTTAAATGTTAGAGAATGCAAGACTTACTTCCAGACAATGGCATTTTCACTGGCTTTGTATTTGGCTTTCCCCTTCATACAAATGACTTGTACTCCACTTGTGTTGAGCGGTGTAGGGATTCGAACCTGAATTAATTAGAAACAGAGGCAAACAATATAAATATAAACATGAGTGTTTATTAGCAACATATTAGGCAGTATAAACAATATTGCAGGGTAATTATGATTATAATTCTCACCTCAATTTTCTGAGCCAGGAGAGATGGCTTAAAGTTGGATTTTATGACCACCTTGACCTCCAGCTTGGTACGCCCCACCTCACGCACAAGTGGAATTACACGGAATGGAAGAATGATGTCCTTTGTAGTTCGGTATCTAGACAAAAATCATGTACATTTTATATTCTGCCATTATACCTAGGAAAATATTACCTATACACATTGTAGTTTTATACTTTCATTTGTTTGGTTGTAATGAGAACTATGAGGTTTTCAAAACAGCCAAAAAAAAACAAACAACATCTCAAACAATGATTATACAAAAGCAATTAGGCCCGGTTCCCACCTGGGCGTTTTTCCACACGTTCGTACTTGCGGAAAAACGCTCAAACAGGGAAATGCCATTATTTTCAATGTGCATGGTTTCCATCTGGGCGTTTTTCCGCGAGTACGAACGCGTGGGAAACCGCCCTACGCCCAAAGAAGTACATTTTGGTCGGGTGTTTCCATTGGCATACAGCCAAGTAGCCCTCGGAAACGCGCGTTTGTCACGCGTTTTTTTTTACCGCAAATCGCGGTAAAAACCCGCATATTCAATAAGCGTAGGTGTGAACCCAGCCTAAAAGACTGATTTTCAAATGGCAAATACATAAACAAAAAATAATAATCACCCTATCCAACATATCTGTGCCGCATGCGGTATTGCACTAAAATGGATTTTTAACTTCCCCGAAAATGATTTTATGGAGTACAGTACAGGACTCAGAGCAATGGGTTATATGCTGCCACCTTCAGATGATCAGACACTGGCAAAAACATATCTGTGCCCAGTCAAGAGTGCCCCAATTCAGAGAAGGCATTATTACCATCCTCAACCTCTCCCTCCACAGTCACCTCCCTCTAGAGGCTCTGCGGCCAAGTGGGAAAAATACACAACAGAATAAGGTGAGCAGGAGAGTTACTCCTTTGAGACCCCTACTAATAGCAGACTAGTACAGTAGACAGCTTTCCAGAAAGTCTGGCATAAGGCTAGACAGGTCCGCTTGGGGTATACCTAAGGAGGAGAATGAAACCCTGAAGTGTACTCCCGACCCGAGAGCAGGAGGGTTAAGCTGAGTGCTGTAAAATGCAGTAGTCCTCTAGAATTGCTGCACTGCTTGAATGAAGCCATCAGGTAGCGGTGTCCGGGACGTGCTTTGCACAGAAATTCAGTGAATACGTGCAGTACATGTTGCCAGAATATACCTCACCTGTGCAGTGGAGAACACCCAGTCTACCGGGAACAAACCTAAAAATTGTGCCAAACTTAAAAATACAGACAGCTGATAGATGCGCAAGAGGAGTCACATCTACCCCATACATGTCTGACAGATTTTGAAACTGTTGCAGTAGCTCCCCCAGCTGTGAACCACAATAAAAAAAAAAAAAAAAAAAAAAAAACTAGGAAACTAGCAAAAAAATTAATCTTAAGCTTCATGGGAGTGGGAGGCGTTACACTTGACTGGCCAACAGCTTTTTTTCTTTTGCCAGTGTCCAGTTACTCCTGTAGGCAGCAGTACAACACAATGTTCTTATTTTACGGATTCCATGCACCTTAATGAATGATAATGTTTTGGATGGAAAATGTTTATGCCCTTGGAAATGGGGCCCAGATATATCTTTGAAATCCATTACCAAAGAACTCAATGTTTAATTATGGAGCCAGAGTATTTGCTGAAAGTGCTTATTCATATGTAAGGGGAAATCTAAGATTAGCATTATACACAAGCTTGATGGCTACTTTCTAAAGCTAAGTGTATGATCGGTTATGCTTAAGGTTTACTACGCAGTGTAGCTTTGCTTGAAAGACCCTAAACAAAAGATACAATGCTAAGGTAGAAATGAAACAGTAAAAGTTACCGCATGAGCTCAAACTCCCCATCCGGCGGTATAAAACTGATGCTGCGCTCAGAATCAAACTTGCTAAGGCGGACACATTGATGGAATGTACAGTCATCAATAGCGATCGATTGCTTCCCTCTGTAAAAGAAGCATTGGCATTACATAAAGAAACCAAACAGTAATGACTAGAAAGACATATCAAAATATTTAAAATGAGTCAAATTGGAACTCATTGCCACAAAATGCACTACAACAGATATCCAGGTTGTGTCATTTTACTCACGTTTTGGCCGTCTCATCGGCAGTTCCTTTGCCTTGCTTTTCAATTACGATTTTGTCATTCATTCCAAATTTGCACTCTGGCATACCACTCAAGTAGCTCTTCATCACCACACGGCCGGATACATGAGCACTAAGAACTTGTCCTGAAAGACCAGAAGGATAAATAAGCTGTGCATTACAATCTGGGATACCAGGAAGGCAATATTAACATGGGAACTGTCATTTGCTCAGCTTTTGCACAACCTGCTCACCTTGAGGCGACATCAGCAAGTTTACACTTTCCAGTACATCCAGGAACAGCTCGTTCCGACGATATTTGATCCCTTCACGTCTCCAGCCAATCTGACCTGTCACCTGGCTGGTGATCTGAGACTGCTCTTCCTTGGTCTAAAAAAGACAGGACAGGCACAGAATAAAGAGAATACCAACATCTGTCACATTAGTACTTGTGGTTATAACACGGATAATGGCCTCTTGTATGAAATGCCTGAACGATGAGTACTTCACGACTTTCTCCAGAACATGGAACATTCTTTCTTTAGACACTTCATACTCCAGCAACAGCTCGACTCACTAATGTAATAATCCATTACGCTTCACTCCAAAAAGGCAAAAGAGTGTTGAAAATAAATACAAGAAAAAATTACGGGGAGAAAGAAAAAAAAAACAGGTGGGAATGTCACTTTCATGTAATTGAAGGTTAATGCAGAAATTTAAACCCACCTGAAGAGACTAAGTGTACATATATATTTCACATATGAGAACAGAATATATGTACATCACAGTTTTGTGCACACTTTTAAGAAACCGCATGCCAAGCATTCCAGGTTTAGCACTTAAGTGACTGATGTTTTATTACTGGAATGGGATTTTAGAGTGTAGCAAAATGTAACTGCACATTATGACAGCTTTATCTCCACCTTATTTTTAATAGGAAATAAGAATATGTACACATTATCCCCCAAGATTGTTTTACACACAATTTAAAAAGGCACCCTCTGGCCGTTGTACACAAAACTGACATGACATGGTCAAGCAGCTTTATCCTGCGGGTAGGCTGAAAACGGTTCCCTTTGCAAGTAGAGTCCAGCAAACAGTCTGGAAAGGCCTGAACAGCAGCTGTCATAACTGAAGACACTTGTGATGCCCATAAGGTCTCATTCACACTGGAATCGGCCGGCACGTACACCTCCGTGCTGCGTGCACGGCCGTTCGAGCAGCTCCCGGGAAGGACAGGTTCTGCGTGCGATTAGTATGTAGCCCCCGTCCTACGCGTCTGTACGCTCACCTCAAGTGCAGGTCAATAGGGGTGCGCGTTTCCTGGCTCGGACGCAGACAGGATCAATCCCGTCAGCATACGAGTACGCTCACCCGCACAGGGCAGGTGAGCATACGGCCGTGTAGTCCCATAAAGGACGGGGGCTGCGTACTAATCATACGCAACTCCCGTCCTTTCCGGGAGCTGCTCGATACGTCCCTGCACGCAGCACGGAGCTGTACATGCTGGCCGATTCCAATGTGAATGAGGCCTAAATGAAAATGTGAATACGAACTAAGCCTATACAGTAGAAAGATACAGCAGGTGGCCCAACCAAGTAAGCAGCACTCCATTCCACTCACGCCTACCTGATGCTACATGTCCAGTCACACGAAGCAGAGGAGAAGCAACACGGGTACAAAACGTGGGAAGAGTGGACAAGCAGGTCAGGAAACAGGAATAAAAACAAGAAGTACAGTTAGAGTTATGGATTGCGATCTGAGGTAGGTTAAAGCAGTTAGTACCCCCAAACAAAAACCACCACAATAGAGCATTAGCAATAGTAAACACGGATGGTAAGCAATTCACACAAGATACTTTTGAGAAGCAAAGACTAAGGATTGTAAGCCAACAATCCTCTGAAGCAAATTCATCTCAGCTCTACAAAATGTTGCAGGCCGAGGTTCAAAATCCACATACCGTTTACTCACTACCTCTGCTTAGTTAAACAATACTTTATAAAGTTGACCTTTTCTCCTTATAGATAAGGTTATGCCCCAGTGTTTTTGGATCTCTGCTCCATGTTGAATATACTGCCCTCCTGAACCTTATTCACACCCTTAACATACCCAGTGCTTTCAGTCATGGTCCCATCTACACATTAAAGTGTAAATCAGAACAATCAACGTCTCTTATTTGTTCCACTTTGGTCTGCTCCATATACCATAGAAGATTTTTGTTATCCATTTGATAAAAGGTAAAAAATACCTGTTGACAATCTTGGGAGCTAATAATTTCCTGTGCTCGCTGCTTTACACGAGGAGTTATGATGGGGAGGGGGTCTGTCTGTGTTCTTTGTAATGCATCAGTAATGAAGTAGGCGGGGCTGACAACATGTGCTAAGGAATTCAGAGGCAAATACACCGAGTGGAATTTATCAAAATTTGAGCAGACAGAAACTGGAGCAGTTGCCCATGGCAACCAATTAGCTTCCCTCAAGTCTTCAGCTAAGGTTTGAAAATGAAAGAAACTGATTGGTTACTATGGATATCTGCTCCAGGTCTGCTACATTTCCCTTACTGTGTTTTTATGTCAAACGGGAAAGAGGAGCATACTATATTTCTGGCACAACGTTTTTTTCTGTACTTGCAGTGAGTTTAAAAGGGATAAAACATGGGGCATGGATTACAGAGAGTTACAATTTGTGTTTATTCTGCCTCAACATACGCTTAAAGTGTATTCCACTTTTGCAGTGGAAAGGTTTGTGCAGGTTTCCATTTGAACAACATACCTAAAAATAATTTCTGTGTTGGCAGGTGTTCTGCCAATTTGGATTCAAAAGTGGAACTACAAGTTTACTTTCCTCCAGTCTCTGCTGCAAGAGTGGAACTACAAGTTTACTTTCCTCCAGTCTCTGCTGCAAGAGTGGAACTACAAGTTTACTTTCCTCCAGTCTCTGCTGCAAGAGTGGAACTACAAGTTTACGTTCCTCCAGTCTCTGCTGCAAGAGTGGAACTACAAGTTTACTTTCCTCCAGTCTCTGCTGCAGAGGTGGAAAGAGAGTTTACTTTCCTCCAGTGTCTTAAGTATTATGCCTCAGAATGCTGTCATCATTCTGTGTAATCCCCTGCAGCCAGAATCCAGAGAATCTCAAAAGGGTCAGAAGGAGGACAGCAGAAGTTTTTCTTCCAGAGCTGGGATTGTCAATCTCTGCAACTTACATCACCAATCACCAAGCCAGGTTTGAATCAGATTTGTGGCTGCAAGAAATTCCTTAGTAGAGTTCCCCCTCTCCCTGAACCATTGAGGAACCCAATCCTATCCTTGCAGGTCCTACACAATGATAGCACTTTACTGTTCTCTTACTGAAAATCAGTCTGCTCAGAAAACACAAAAGGCTCCATGACGGACTGATCCTGTAACGTCAGCATGTATTGTGCAGTGTTGTGGATTACATTATTTCTCAGTGGGATAATCTGCAAATCTACATACAAAATACAACCGAAGAACAAGCATTTACAACTCATCTAAACCCAAAAACTAAAACAAAATATGTTTATAATTGAAAGAATCTGGTTTTACTTGGTAATCCTGTGAATAACACTCTCTGTTCCTGGGTGACTGCGCTCACTCCTCCACTAACTATGGAGGGAGTCATGGTAGTAACCATGGGGGATGGGAACATTAGTAGTTTACCCCCAAAAATAAATGGGATTGTTTTTTTCTTTCAGTTCAGCTTACATAATGACAAGGACACTGCATTTCTGGTAAGATCAACAGGTATTTTCTCTACTTCTTGAAAAATGCAAAAAAAAAACAATTGCAGCCATCACATCCAAGTCAACTTGCAACTGGTAAGCTGTAATATATTACATTTCTATTCTTGAGTTTACTTATTCTTTAAAAATATTTAAGTCAAAAAAGGTTCATGTAAAGATCAGCTTGAAAATAAGCTTTCATTGTAAAAAACACTATAGCTCCCTTAAATGTCCATGACATTTTCCTTTCTAAATATACTGGCCTAGTGGAACATATTGACAGTGCAAATATTGTCCAAATGTAGTGCACCCCATGTGCCATTACCTGACTTTTAATCCCTTGTTGAGTGATGAAGGTTTTCAGTGCTCCAGTTTCAGAGTTCTGAGGGTAACCAAAGTCCAGGATTTCTATACGACAAAGCAGAAACAAAACAGACTACTAAATGATCATCTACTGACTGCAGCCATAATGAACCTCAACATAGGTCCAGCTAGAATTCTTTATAGATAACACTTTCCCTAAAATACATACGTCCAAAAGGCAAAAGCAAGACGTATTACTAGAACAAGCCCAACACATCAAACTATCTTACCATCAAGCAGTTCATAGATCAGCACAAAGTTGTTCTTGATGTTTTCCTCGCTGATCTTGCCGAAGTACGCCGTCATGACATCACACATCTTGTACAGGAACTCAAACACCATGGCGGCGTTGACATTTTGTTTGGTGACTGCTGCCAGCCAGATGTTGGAACGTTTCACATGAAAGAAGCTGGTTCGAGCAATGTTGGTGACGGGAGAGCGCACCTGCTGCCGGGCATGGATGACATTGACACGGAAAGCATCCACTGCATTCCTTCTGCATGAAAGATACAACACATGACATCACTACAGGAAACCTTTGTGCCCCATGGCAAAAGCCTAACATACATGCTTACAGGCCTGGAGAAATCCTAGATGCCAGGCAGCCAAAAGCACCTACAAGATGACCGCTGAGATGTAACCTTTAAAATCAAAGTTCTTGTTCCCTGGCTCCTTCAAACGGAACTTGTGGAGGATAAAAATCTAGAGTGCAGACTTGTTATTAAAAAGGTACAGGTTACAGGGCGGCCATCTTGACCCAGACATCACTGCATGAGTCATTGACCTGGAACCGGCATGTAGAACCAATGTTGACTTTCTTGGTTGCTTGTTCTTGTAAAAGCCCCAGAGCCTACAGACCTTTAGGACCTGTGTCGACAGGCTTTTTTTCCCCCACTTCAAAAGGGGTTTTGCACTGCCACACAAGTCTACGGGAACGCAAAACTCATTTGAAGCAGGTCAAATGCAGGTCAGCTGAGGGTCGATTGACCGGTCAATTAATTCTAAAACGCTCTCAACATTTTCCTACACCAATGTCAAACTGATGCCATCCACAAGCCCAAAGTCAGTCGACACAGGCCCTTAAGAAGTCAACTACGGCAGTTCTACATTTCCATTCACAAAGGATCCCTTAAAATAAAGTTTTGCCTGCTGGGTCCTATTTACCAGGGGAACTTGTCTAGCCTTTTCGCATAGCATGCCTTATGGCTGCTTGATATTATAATAAAATAAGGAGAACCCTAGCAGAATATCTGGATAACAAGATAATGTGTTGGCTTAAGATACACACCAACAAACACTGGATTTTACAGATTGTCCATCTGAAATGGAGCTGCTAAGGGTGATTACCGGCAAATTAAATATTAAAAGAGCAACTCTGCCAAATAGCTTGTAAAGGCACCTTACAGCAGTAGGCCTTAATAATCAAGTCTTGAGGGAGAAGAATTACACCCATGTTGCTCCACAGGGGTGAACAAATCAATTTGGAATTCAAGAGCCAGTCGGTCCAGGGCTACATAGCTCCTGGGATTTGTCCAGCCCTCCAGTAATGAATCATATTCTCCCTTAGTACTCAGATTTTCTTGTTTAATGCAACCTGCAGTGTGCCAATTCTTCTGAAATACATTCTAATATTAGGAGCTGAAATGTAATGTGGAACAGATTTCTTCATATTCTCTGCATGGCTTTTAAAAAACAACTAAAATCTCACACTTTGTAAAATTTGTAGCATTTGGACTGTATCTAGAAATTAAGTGGAACTCCAGTCAAAACTATTTTGGACAGCAGGTTCAATCCCGTGTCAAATTGTTACTTTGATTCCCCCCACTCTGTCCTAATAACAGGTGGCTCTGGGGCAGATACTGTGGGGAAAGCTTACTAAATGGCACAAAAGCAGCAATTAAACATTTTGTAGTAAAAGAGGGGAAGAGTTCACATTTTGTCAGGTCTTTATTGGCTTTTCTCCACTGGGAAGATTTCCCCTCCATTTCTGTGCAGGCATGACCGGGAAACATTTTGGCCAGAGTTCTACTTTTAATGCATGTAGTTAGAACAAAATCAGGAGAAAAAAAAAAAAAAAAATGGAATGCACTGTATGGAAAAGAAACAAAAACTTGATAGACGTGGTAATGCGAAGTGTTAACCTTCTCAGGTTTTAATCACAGCAAGAAGCAACCGATTTAAAAATGTGTTAGCAGTGTTATAGTTATAGGCAACATGTCTACACTGCACAAACGTGCAAAAAACCTCAATTCAAACCTTTATATTGCTAGAAAGTTTATAAGAACTATTTCCCTACCAGAGACCCATAACAGAGTGCAGAGCCTTCCATTAAACACGAGGCTTGTTACACTGGTTTGATCCAAAACATGTTCCCAAATTGAAATTCCAATTGTGCAAATGAATAGCGTTTTTGGTTTTTAGAGTTTTCCTGCATGGGTCTCTAGCAGAGATGAAGAAACGCCAAACTAATTAGTACAAGGTACCTCAAACATCACCACTCAGTAGGTTATCTTGTTTTAATGGGTTACAACAAAGATGCAACTGATGTAAGGCAGCAAAGTTTTAGACATTAGGGACTTTGCACACTCGGCACAAGCATCCAGGCATAGAGCAGGCACTACAGGACTTGCAGCAGGAAGAGTGACCTTACCTATTGCTACAGCAGCCAATGAGGTGATGAGATGGAAAAAGATGGCACCAGCAAGGAAAAGGACAGTGACAGCAATGAAAGAAAGGATTAGAAATAAAATACTAAAAACAGAACACCCACCAGGGACCCAGGTAGGAGCACACTACATATTAGGAAGGAGACATCCTTGTGATAAAAAGGTGAAAGCCGGGAAAGATTGGCAACAAAGGCTTATATGAAAGACAGTGTTTGACAGAAGGGACAAAAAAACAAGCACATAGCAATAGGAACATGCAACAGAAAAAGACCAACATCAACAGAAAGGACACACAAGTAAACATAGCAAGTACATTTCAAAGCTGCAAAATCAGCTGCAAGGATAAGATAGATTTCCCTGTATTAAAACTTAAAAGGGCTCATTCACAAAAACTGAAGCATATTATTTTTCTTTTACAACATATCATAAAATGAGAATATGGTGCATTTTACAGCAAAGCTTATAGTGACACTAAACTCAGGTGTTACACCTTAAAATACATTCAAGTACCTTAAACATGAACAAAAATGTATCTTATTTGTGTATCACTCGGCTGTAGATCCTCAAATCATCTCTGCATTGGTGCTGACACTGTCCTTACTTCTGGAGGGTGACTACTTTTCTTCTCCAAAGTCCCTGTGTGTGTTCTAAAGTACTAAACATGAGATTGTAGTCCATCACAGGAGCGAGCTTGGAGCGGTGGCTCCTTTACAACACACACAGGGACCATGGGGAACAAAAGTAGCCCCCCTTCAGAAGGGACAGTGTCAGCACCAATTCAGAGATGATTTGAGGATCTACAGCCGAGTGATACACAAGATACATTTTTGTTAATAGTTAAGGTACTTTAATGCATTTTTAAAGACTCCTGGGTTTAGTGTCACTTTAAGTAGGACAAGTCTGGGCTTATCGTCTTAATAGTTTACAAATAGAAAATGGGTTCTTATCTAGGAAATACCACCAGCAAATGCAGAGGTCACAGAGTGCTTGCAGATAGTCCGAGCATAAAAATAAATAAATAAAAAGATATAAAAATGTTTACAGAGCAAATAAATGTACTTTTTTTTGTTTTAAGGACATCTATACTTTTGGGGCCAACTGCCCCTTTGCCTTTCCCATTCCATACATAAACTATGCCAGACCTCGTATTACCAGCCAGCCTATGCAGATACTGCAGCCTGACCTTAGTAAAGAAACCTTCCACTTGCAGGCTTGCAACATGTTGACTGGTATGAACATGAAAAATGCATTATGGAGGATTCTGGGGCAAAGTTAAGGCACTACAATTCTTGCCAAAGTGACTACAAAGCTTTCCATAAAGCTGCAGCCATCCGTTAGGAGAGCCCCGTTCACACCAGGGCGGCTGCGGATCAGTGCGGTTTCTGCGTTGATTTCAAAAGGGAGGTTTTGGGAGTTTAACTGCGTTTCAGAGCTGAAACACAATAAAAAAAATGCCCAAAACTGTGCTGATGAGCGTGGTTCCATTGAAAGCTGTATGGAAACCGCACTCATCAGCGTGGCAAAAGAGGGTCAGGGAGCAGTCCAGGCGGAGGACGTTTCGGGCCACGCAGTCGGGTGAACGGTCCCCATAGCAATGTATGGGATCGTTCATGTCGGCGGATCCGTGCAGCTGAAACGCCCCCGTGTGAATGGGCTCTTAGGTACATTAATTTGTCATGGAAAGCAATCCAAATGCATGAAAATACATGTTGCAATCCACTGACATTACACGTCAATACATCCTTTTACTTCCACACTATTACTTTTTATATCACATTCCACGCAAACTGCTGGCGCTATATAAAGCCTAAATATTAATAAAAAGTGTGCGAGTTAAAATGCATTTGTGTGAAGAGACCCTGTCACCAGAACTAATGGCTTTTATTTAAGTTAATGTAATAGTGCAGTAATTACTATTTTCCTATTGGGAAATTATTTTATTCACAAACTGCAGTTACAGACATTAGGGGGGGAAAAAAAGCTTAGAATATTACACGAGTGTGTGGGACATTTGGCCACTACTTCACTTTGAGCTGACAACTGCTCCTGAACACAGCCACTGGGTATGTAAACTGACAGGACTAGTGAGCTCTCTTAAACAGCAGCCATGCTGGCCCTGCTCAGGTGCTCTCTGCCCAACACAGCCTCGGGATATGCAAACTTCCAGTGCCGAGTATGTGTCTGGGAGAGCAGCATCTAAAACACAACTTCCATGCTTTCAGTTTACATACCCTGAGGCTTTGGTTCAGGAGCTACTGTCTGAAGAAATTCTCATAGTAGGCGGAGGAGGTGGAACAGAAGCAGCAATGGGCAGCCGAAAAGAGAAGATTCCAACACACTAGAAATGTCAGATTCTTAACGGGTTTTCCTTGCCTATAGCTTTAGAGATTCTTCCTCTATCATATTAAAGAAAAGCATTTTTATGTGTCGTTGTTGTTGGAGAGGTACCTTCACTTCCTGCCTAGTAAAACTTTGTCAGCACAGCAGCACAAGAAGTGACGGTAAATCTTTTTAAATCTATCCCACATTGAGAATGTTGTGGTTGGACATACATCTTATTAAAATATACCAATTCTGCTGACAGGGTCCTTTTACAGTGGCAGTCTGCACAATAACGCTTCTTTTATCCATCTGAGTGGAAAGATCTCTGCCGCAATCACAGAAGGCATATAAAATGTCCCTTCTGGACTCATGGTTTGTTTTAGAATACACACAAAAAAAAAAAACACGCAACAAGCAGAAGCGGGACCTTCCACTATATATGGCATATATCTAAAACACTGGAGTACCCAATAGCTGTTTCACCTAAAAACAAAAATAAATATTGTGAGTGGACTGACCCCAATGCATCCCACTGTAACAAAGGATATTTTTTCCATGACACCCATTGCTATACTCTATGGACATCTTTCTACAACTGCTACACGCACACGTATGTATGTATGCATGCATGTATGTATATGCTAAAGAGAACAGAAGCGGAGGATGCTGAAAACAGGACAGGGGGAATGCTGGATAACAGAAGAAACGGGGATGGGGAGTGTGTAAGCACATTTAGAAAACTACAGCCATTTGTTCCTGAGATTTATTTGACGACACTCAAAATATCACTTAACATCCCTAATTGGTGGGAACAGTGAAAATGGGAATCAAGTACTTACCCAATGTCATCTCTGTATACCCGGGAGATCAGGACCTCTCCCTTGTGGTTATATATGAAGAGTCCTCCGATCATGATGGATGGACTTCAGTTCCCTCTTCCCATTGTGATAAAAGACCGACCTGAGAAAGGACAATGTATTAGCAATATTGCAGTCCGAACAAACAATTGAAGCACTTCCTTCTGCAAGAAAAAAAAGTTTACTCAAGAAAATGAAATTAAGCCTATAAGGTTTGGCATATAAAAAAAACTAATTTGTGGAATAGGAAAAAACCCAAGAACTCGAGAGAACAAAACTACTCCACACACATTCCTATACACATCCCTGTGGGAGCGAACCAAACATCCTACCAGATGTGAAAAGCTCTGCCCTGCACAGTTATTTCCCAATCATGCAGCTCAAATGCTGGAAAACACTGGCTGCTGAGAAGAACGATGACATCCCAGCTTTTCCCTACAGCAATTAGTTTTATTTTCTATAGAAACAGAAGGCCTAAGCAAATCTTTTCACAGTTCAGGAGTGCATTCCTCACTGCCCCTGGATGTTCCACCATGAGGAAGGAAGAGGAAGGGAAATGCATACATGAAATTCAAAAGGAAATTGCTGAATCCAAAAGGAAACAGTCTTACATGGAAGATACCAGGGAACTGCAACTGCTGACACAACAAAATAATGCACGCTGATAAAAATACAATGAGTGATTATGTGGCAGTTTATGTTCAGCTCCCAAGACACAAACAGCCTGAATTGTAGAAATTCCACATACAAGTAGCTGGAGATCAGCACAGAGATTATCTAAATAATGCCAACGTAACAGAATATATAGGACCTGCTAAAGGTTAGGTACGTGGGCAACTCTTAAAGGGATCCAATAGTAACCCCACCCACAAGCCTTAACATTAAAAAAACTCAAAGAATCCCTAAAATGTCTTCATCAAGGATGAAAAAAATTGACTTGGCCAATCTGAACTCTAATCACATGACCACACTAAGGCACACAGCCATATAACAGGCAACCATGGGATCTGGGAGCAGTATTTTCAGCATACACAAAGACGGTATTGGCTGCAGCATTATTTTACTTTACATCCACGTTAAACTATTTTCACATTATTGTTAAAACATATTTAGAATGTTGTATGCGTTAAATGGGAGTACCCCTTGAACACTGGGTGTACACACACTGGTGCCTGACAAACTAGCATTAACCAGTCACTACATTTCTCTTCAGGACCCATTTACATTGATTTTCAATGCCACTCCAATGGACTGCTGTGCTCTGTGATGTGTAGATAAAGATGGTGCATGGCCAGTTTTTTTGTCCCGTCTGATGCATTGGCAGCATATACAAATGTGCACAACATGCATGCGTTAACAACACACCAGAGCAGACAGGTGTAAAGGGATCCCCAAACAGCACCATTAAACTCCCAGCTCCCAAACAAGAGACCATGAACACTTGTCTACATGCATTCTTTAGGCGTTTTTCTAGCCACAAAATTGGGTTTGGTGCAATTTAAGGTTGTTTAAAGTGCATCTAATCCTAGGACAAATCATATACGGAAGCTCATCAGCCTTTATATCTGGGAACTGCATTATCATTGCTCTATTTCTCCTCAGGCTTTGCCCCTTTATTCTCACCTGGCGATGCTGCCAGTAAGACACTTTTCCCATGGTGATAACGCTCACTCACTGGACTGTGTGGAGATCTTTGCTGGTGGACCCTGCCTCTACTATTGTGGTATTACAGTGACATCTGCTGCCGTCACTGCGCGCATTATTCATTTGGATTGAATGGAGTGCAGCCCAGAACTGCAAGGCCACTTCCAGATGAGTGGTCTGATCAGGTCCACCCGTCAGTTCTTTGGTAAGATCTAATCAGAAGCCCAACGTAACACTGGCCATACACCTATCAATATTTTTCGTTCAACTCGCAGAGTGAATGAAAATTGACCCAATTCCTCCATCAACACAAACAGTGTCAATCAAGGAATTACCGATGTTTACATTGTATTGGGACAGGTGCCCAGCGCTCATTGGCTCTGATCGATCAAAAAATGTTCCAGCTGATAAGGAATGCTGGCTGAAAGGGAGCTGACAGCCCCACACACTGTGCAAATTTGGTTGGTACATTAAAAACCAGCAGAAATTCGACCAGTGTATGGGCACATTTATGCTAACCACACACGTTACAATCTGACCATACAATCTTTGTACAATCAACTTTAGATCTACCAAAACTATGTAATGTAAGCACCTATCTAGTCTATACAATCAATCAATCTGCATTCAATCAGGCAAGCCCCTGCACTACATAGTTGTTGGTAGATCTAAAGGAAATTGTACAATCAGATTGTAAGGTGTGTGGTGAGCTTTACTCTATAGGCAGCTGGATTGAAACTGACATGTCCATGTACATCCAATTTCCCCTACGACTCATACAATGGAGGAAAAAACTGGATGGACACGGATGTCACAATGGATAACCTGCTGATGACGCTTCTCACACTTAATGCCAATGACACTCCAAAGCTCCTAGTCACAATCCATGGCTACCATGGGAGTACAAAATAGAAGCTAGGACACATTGCATCCATGTACCAAAGTAGCATTGATACCTATCTCTGCCCTCCATGAACATGCATTGCGGTATGACCTCATAGTACTAGGACCCCTTTTTATCACAACCATAAAAAGAAAATGCATTAACAAAGAGCAAACGCTTTATTTTTAAAGGGTTCATATGGTCCCCTTAAAATCCATACCCGACCCGTTTAGGGTCTGGAATTATGGGAGGGGAATGGAACCATACATCGTTTATCACATTTACGTTATTCACATTTTACACTGGGGAGATTTTGCATACTTTAAAAAGCTGCCATGGCGGCAAAAAGGTTAATAAATGCTGCTTTTGATAACACTGGAGGAGGACTGCCTATTGGATACTGAGGACGACAGCACTTTAAAGTGTTTATCTTAAAGTGTGTGTTTATCCAAAAACGAAGATTCAATATATGTGTTGGCTTACTTCTACTTGGCAAATGTAACCTCTAATGTGTTTAATACCTTGTGATCCTGCCGGTTGCATTGGTTACTTTTTTACACTGACCACATAAAGGAAGCAGATCCGTGCTGGCGTGGTCAGTTTGTGCCCCTGGGATCACTGTTCATAGTTACAGGACTCATTGCTGACACAGGAAGTGCCTGTTTCTTCCATTATTACTTTCGTGGTCATGCCCCCTCCCCAGCCCTGCCTGTGTTGATTGACAGCTCCCTACATGAACCTCCCTGTACCAAACTATAGCCGTTCCTGGAATGCAGCATACACTGATGGGGATCAGTTGTACTTCCTCATCTGTGTGTCATAAACGCCTGGAGTTCTTCTTTGAACAAAGCTGCACAACCTGCGCTGACAGCTTTGTAAATACCAGCTAAAGCTCATGTGTGCAACATCTTTAGGCTGGGTTCACACCTGAGCGTTTTTCAGCGCTGAAAAACGCTCAGCAAGTGAAATCCTATTGAGTGCTATGGGCATGGTTCCCACCCAGGCGTACGCCCTATGCCCGAAATAGTACAGGAGCTTCTTTGGGGTGTATTTTAGCGCGTATCCATTGGTATTCGCGAGTGTGGCTCGGGGTTAACACAGCGGTAACCCCGAGCCACAC